GCTTAATGACTGAGCCACCCAGGCACCCCTTAATGACAGCATTCTTAAAGCTCCTTCAAAGGAACTCAAGGTCACATTATTTTCATTGTCGCTGAGAACTCTTTTAAGCAAGAGAACTCTTTCTGTCATGCTAACTTAAAGGAGCTGAATCTCGCACACCAGAATCCCTGGAATCAGTGTTAGAGATGACAGTTCTGAGAATTCTACAGAGGGTTCAGGACAGGTTAAATTCTACTGCACTGTGCACTGCACTGAGGGAGACAGAGGTACGCTCTTTAAAACCCCATCACGCCTCCCTGAGGAAGAATTATAGACCCCAGATTCAGTCATTCTCCACTACATCTGGTTCTCCTTTGCCTACTTCCTACTGACTCTGTGTCTCTCCACGTAGAGAGACAAAAGTGTTACTCATGCTGAATATTTAGGGGTATCACTGAGGTAAAGGACAAAGAAATCCCCAGAGGAAACTTTCAAAGGAAGTGGCTCACGCTACTTACTTTGGGACTGAGCCATTTTCTAATTGGTGTTATCTGGTCCCATAAAAGTAAACTCGTATCGGAAAAATGTGAAGTTAATAAGCAGAGAATAACCCACTGGGAGAGCAAAGATGACCAAGAGGCTGACACACTCACCGTTGCTGCAATTACTGAGCTGAGGGTAGAAAGAGTGCAGCAAATAAAACCTGCGAGCCTGCCAGGAGAGCCCTCTAAAGCTGATATCACAAAATCCTAGCCCCTCTTCTTGTTTATGGGCAGCAAAGAAAGAAAGATGCAGCCAAACTGGAACCATACAGTAGAACTGTACTGGTGCTGGTATTATAAACAGCAGTAGCAATAGCAATTACCAGTCAAAATTCCAGTGTATAGGGATTTACTTGTGAACACTTTTACTTATCTAAAAACAATTTTGGTTCTAGTTCACACTTATCTTTATTCATTTTCACTAAGGTCGTTTTAACAGAGAAGGGGAAAGGGAGAAAAATGGAGGTAGAGTATATACAGGAATTTCACATGAAGGCTATACCTTGTAACTACCCGACCCCCTGCCTTAGCTCGGGAATGGCAAATAGGTTTTATCTTGGGCAGGAATCCCAACTGACTGGTACAGGCTGTACTGAGAAGGGCTGCTTGGGCTAAATGGAAAGGAATATAGACAAAGTCTATACTGGATGAGGGACAGGGAAATGAGTCTAGTCCAGTGGGAGATTCTGGCAATGTCTGAAGATATTTCTGGTTGTCCCAACTGGGGAAGCGTTAGTGGTAGAGGCAAGGGATGCTGCTCAGGAGTCTACGATTACTCCCAACCCACCAAAACAAAGATTATCTGTACAGGAGTTCAGTAATTTGAAGTTGGTAAACCACGATCTAGTCAAATCTATCCTATAGTCAGTTCATCAATCAAGCCTTTACCCAAATGACATTAAATTGGTCTTCAGACAGTGTTCCTGAGCTACCCTTCCTAATGCTAGGGTAATTCTATATAACTTCTTTGGAGTGTTAGAACTATGAAGTCAATTTGATTTACACACATTACCCTTATCTGTCCCTAACTTAGTATTGTGATCACAAATTATTTTATCCCCTGAAGCCTTGGTTTCTTCATCTATAAGAAGAGAGGGTTAGACTAGATAATCACTGTCATCACAAACAAAAACAAAACTACTAGGAAGTCCTTACATGTGCCAAAGGGAATAAGCCCTTATTGATATTTTCTTCAACAAAAGATGATTTTTCTTCAGTTTAAGATAAGTTTACCAATTCCTTTCAATTTCTGTTAATGCAGATTTACTAGGTGTGCCTGAAATTAAAACCATTTTAATTTTCATGTAATGCTTTATTATTTTCCATCTGAACCTTTAAGTTAAGATGCCTTGGCATCTCAAGGTATTCTGGCCTTCTTGTCCTTCACCATTATACTATCACATTATACTATTAGAACTATGAAGTCAATTTGATTTACACACATTACCCTTATCTGTCCCTAACTTAGTATTGTGATCACAAATTATTTTATCCCCTGAAGCCTTGGTTTCTTCATCTATAAGAAGAGAGGGTTAGACTAGATAATCACTGTCATCACAAACAAAAACAAAACTACTAGGAAGTCCTTACATGTGCCAAAGGGAATAAGCCCTTATTGATATTTTCTTCAACAAAAGATGATTTTTCTTCAGTTTAAGATAAGTTTACCAATTCCTTTCAATTTCTGTTAATGCAGATTTACTAGGTGTGCCTGAAATTAAAACCATTTTAATTTTCATGTAATGCTTTATTATTTTCCATCTGAACCTTTAAGTTAAGATGCCTTGGCATCTCAAGGTATTCTGGCCTTCTTGTCCTTCACCATTATACTATCTGAACTTGGCTTCTCCAGTTCTCCAACCATCTATTCTACGCTCTCTTGTATCATCTAAACTATTAGGACCAATTATATAGTTGCTGATCATTATACTTCTCTTTTTTTACTCTATATATCTCTTTCATCAGTCAATCAATCAATCCAAATAATTCAGGGCCTTCTCTGTGCCTATGACATTAACAGTGGACAAAGGAGTAGAGTCAGGAGCCAGATCTGTTGACACAAAAGAAAGGTTCTGGCTTGGATGCAGTTACAGGCTTTAGTTAAGAGGATGAAGCACATGAAGCTATTAGAGAACAAGTCATATTAACGAGGTGGTAGCAGGGAAATGTCACTATGAGGGTAAAAAATGCCAGAAGAATGAAATGAAGCGTCTGCTGCGCACAGATTAAGGATAACCCAGAAGCTATCATAAGAACTGTTAGGGAAAAAATCGTTACGAATCAGATGCAGAAGGAATGCTGACATGTGGCCAATGACTTCAAAGGTAGGTTCTATGTTTTAAAGGTGTATTAAATAGATATGCAAAATATGGCTGAATAACAAACAGTGAGAACCAATGAATGTTCTCTCCAGAGACTAAAATTATACAGAAACATTTGGAAGTGCTAAAAAAGAGATAATAGGCCCCAAATGGAGTCACTTGTGCCAAGCCCCACATCAATAAACCAAGACTTAATACCTAACCTAGTTGTGGCTTCAGCCTCTCCCAGGAATGTGACCTAAAACCAGTCAATCTGGAATCACCTGGTCAGCACCAGTGAGGTCATCTGCCCAACAGACCCCTTCCATCCCCACAGGAAGGTGACCTTGTCTAAAACAAGCCTCTCTTTGATAAAAACAAAAAAATTCCTTCTCCTGCTCCCCTCTACCTATAAAAGCCTTTCATTTTGTAGAGCTCTTCAGAGCACCTTTGTATATGCTAGATGGGATGCTGCCTGTTTTCATGAATTGTTGAATAAATTCATTAAAATCTTTAAATTTTACTCAATTGAATTTTGTCTTTTAAAAGAAGTTAATGATATAAAGTCATATGTGTTGAGTTAGATCACATCTATCAAAATGGAGATCCCATAAACCAACTCTGAAAAAGGGACATTTATTTTAGAGCTCATGGGGAAGCATCCACTCAACCGCTTAATGAACTGCTAGTTCATCAAGGTCTCAACATGTGCACCAAGGAACTTTCTGAAGCAAAGTGTGCATATTTCCCCTTAAAGATCAATTTCTCAAGATTAGGAATATGCCCTGAATCTAAATTATTTAACCCTTATGCCAAACATATTTATATATTTTTCTAAGTCATAATCAAATTATTTTCACCTGTGGTACCTCTTGTGGTAATAAAGCTAGTGTGTTTACCACATTGTCTGCTATTATGTCCACTAGAAATACTAGAAAACCATTATGTCCACTACCTAGCTGTCCAATAGCAAATGTCTCAAGTTTCTGACATCACTTGGGAAGACTGCATTTTGGATGTCATTTCAGTATTATAAGATAATTCTATGTTTAAATGAACACAAGATCAAAATGAAGAGTGACCCTGAAATGATCCTCCCTTTAGCATTTACTCCTTAGGGGATAATCTTTTTGAGATTTTTTCATAATGTTCTTACTTAAAACCAGATTATAGCTCTTTGTGGCCTATCTCTCTAACTCCCAAATCCCTGAGCTAGTAGTTAGGGGTTCCAACAAGCTCCCTCTTTCCTTCAATCATATTAACTTCAGCTGTCATTAGTACCTCCCTTCTGCCTGAAGAGGCTCATTGGTTTAGAATGTCCTTGAAGTTCTGTGCCCTCAACTTTTAAATCAATACAATCTCAATGTAATCTAATACACAGTACTCTGAAAACAAATGCTAAGCAAATCATACTATTATTCAATTCATTGCATTTCATCTGTTTTTGGCACGGACGCAAATAAGTTCACAAGTAAACAGATTTTAAATTGAGAGAATTTGTCAAGGGCTGTTTAAGTTTTCCATTATTTTATGTATTTGTTACTTAATTTTATATAAAAAATGTGAAAGTATAACTGCCCTTTTTTAAAATTCAGAGAGACTTTTTAACAACACTCTCAACAGAGTCCTTTGACAGTGAATCAAAATAAAATTCTGCCTCTGTTTGCACTAAGTATACCCTACTGCATCAAATACTTAAGCATAAAGGATTCAGAAGGAGAAAGACAAGAAGAGAGAAAGAAAAAACAATTCTTATTAGAACTGTTAAAACTAACAGTGATAACAGAAACAATAAGAGAGCCCCCAAAATGATGAGAAGAGCACAAGACATTTGTCTCTACACATCCTCTGGATTCAGAGGAGAAGATCTATATATTCAATCCTACTAAAAGTAAAAACATACCTAATTTTATTTTCCAGGTCTTCACTGTCTGATTCTTCAGAGCTTCTGTACTTATCTGGATCTGGAAGTGTGCTTGGATCAAATCCATCATCATCATCATCACTCCAATCCAGAAAGGCTTCCTCTTCATCTCTGACCTAAGAAAACACAAGGGGAGTTGTGGTTTAAGAAAACAGCTGATGAGTAATCAAGTCTTATTTCAAGACACAAACACTTGTCTAACTGATATCCTCAAACTGGAAGCCTTCTATTCTGGTGAAAGCCACTATGTGACTTTCAGAACCATTATCATTTGCAAAGAGAAAGGAAACCCATGTCATTTCAAAAATAAAATGAAAATATGGTTCAGGAAGTAAATCACCATTAAGTCCCTTAAACAAAACATGGGAAAAATGGTCAGTTTTATTACTTCCACATAACTGTCAAAGAAATAAAGTATAAAATAAAGTTGTTTTTGTGCTCCTGTCCATACACATGTGAATTTCAAAACTCCCAAAAATATTATATGAAAATATAAAAGGCCAGAAGAGGTACAGAAACTCTCTTTTTGTCTGATGACTTTATGATCACAGTAATCTAAGTGTTTAAATTAATAATCAGATCAATACAAGCTCATTAATAGTAAGGAGGGTTCTAAATTCAAGTTTAAGTATGAGATCATTAAAACAATGGAAAAGGAGAGGAATACCAAAAGACAGGAGAAGCAATAACACATGGAAGAAGTTGGGAATAATTCCGTTTTATGCCAAGTACGTACGTAGGTGGGCTTTTTTTTGCTTTTATTTTATAGTGGTTTATTTTTGTCAAAGAACAAAGCAATGTAATGTTAAAATACACTTACTACACATTTATGTAATGACCATCCCTTATAAAAAATTTATTTCTGGCGCATTGTGCTTCTTATCTACTAGGTTACAAAACCAAACAAGCATCATCACATGCATTTAGCAGATTATAAGTAGGACTTAAAAAAAAAATTCTGGATGAGTTTCTCTCAGTTACCATCTTTATAATTCTTCTTCACACCATATGAGACAAACGTCAATGATTCTGTTTTCAAATGTTTAATGTTCTTTCCCAGGAAGTGCATAACAACTCAGAATAGCATAGCAAGTGACTGTGCAAAGCCATGGTAGAGGCCCTCTAACACCTTCTGAACATCTCTCCCTTGATAACCTCTCAACATAACAAAAGGAGGAAGAAGAAAAGAAAAGAAGGATTAGTCATCAATGCAAAAGGCCCCTATTGCTTTCCTGGTAAAGCTCCCAGCTGAAAATAACAGGTCTGAAAAAAATGTATCAAAGGTGGGAGTGGGGGGATTGCCATCAAAGGCAGTAAGCAGCACCCTGCACAGCCTATGAGATGGTCTACTGGAAATAATGAAGGGTATCAACAAAAACTGAATGTCCTCATATACTCCAAAACACTAATCTCCTGGGCTACAAGGTATTTCCAATTTTCCAGTCTGATGCTCTCAAAGGAATTTGAAGACAGAGCAGATTCAAAACAATTTTCAAGTTTTTTGGTCTCTCTTTACACTTAAAATGTATGAAGGACTCCAAAGATTTGTGAATGTGGATTATATTTACTGATATTTACTGATATTTACTGTATTAGAAATTAAAACTAAGATTTTTTAAAAATTAATTTTAAAGTAACAAAATTCACTAAGTATTAACATAAATGTCATATTTTATGAAAAACAGCTATAATTTCCCAAAATACCATTGTTTTATATTTTTGCAAGTTTCTTTAATAACTAGTATTTTTTTTTCTTTTTTTTTTTTTTTTTAAGAGAGCGTGCACATGTGAGCCGGGGGAGAGAGGCAGGGAGAGGGAGAGAGAGGGAATCTCAAGCAGGCTGCACACCCAGTGGGGAGCCTGACACCAGGCCTTGATCTCATGACGCTGAGAACATGACCTGAACGAAAACCAAGAGTCGGATGCTTAACCGACTGAGCCACCCAGGTGCCCCTACAGTAACTAGTTTAAAAGAAGACAGCTAAGTGCCCAAATGTTCCTCTGCATTCACAATGTGTTGTTCTGGGTGAAGTATATGAAGAAAATCTAGTCGCTCTGAGGTAAGATGGTTGGGAAAGGGAGGAGTAGCCTTTTCAGGGAATGGCAGTTACTTTTCTTTGATAACACAACAAATCCTGATGAGTAGTTTCAGAACAAGTAGTTGCAATGTAGAATCTGAAGCCATTCTGTACTGTTACATTAAAACCCATCGGTCTACTTTTCACTTTGAATGTATCTTTTACCAGTGAGTGATTTTGTAACATCATGTATCAGCTATGTGGAAAACACTGGTTCACTGAATTATGCAGATCTTCCTTATGTGAATCTTCAAGTGTTGATACATTTCATTTTACAATATATTTTTTTAAAGATTTTTTTATTTGACAGAGAGAGAGACAGTGAGAGAGAGAACACACCAGGGGGAGTGGGAGAGGGAGAAGCAGGCTTCCCGCCGAGCAGGGAGCCCCATGCGGGGCTTGATCCCAGGACCCCAGGACCATGACCTGAGCCGAAGGCAGACGCTAAATGACTGAGCCACCCAGGCGCCCCTCATTTTACAGTATTTTTTTTAAATCACATTTGTTAATATCACCTTCAATATCATAAGAGGTGTCTTTCAAAGTATGGGGAAGCTATTGGTGAATACAAGCTTTCCAAAATTCTAATTTTTTCTTAGAAACTCAAATTTTATGATTAACAACAAATATTTTTGGTTTTTCCCTTGAAATGTAAGCAACAAGTGTCATCTTCCTCTGGTGGTTTTCAAACATTTCTCTTTATCATAGAGGAGTTTTTTTTGTTTGTTTTTAAATTTTATTTTATTATGTTATGTTACATCTGGGAATGGTTTTGTGTTCCTCTTTCTTGTGGCTCTGCCAGCTTCTTGGATCTATCATTTCATGTTTTTCACTACATTTGGGGAGTTTGGCCATTATTTCTTTAAACATTTGTATGCCTCGTTCTCATATATATTGGCCTACTTCACAGTTCTCTGAGGCTTTGTTCATTTATTTTTTTCAATCTTTTTTCTTCATGGTCTTTGGACAGGGTCATTTCTACTGGGTCTCCAGGTTTGCTATTCCTTTCTTCTGATATTTCCAAACTACTTTTGAGCCCATCTGGCATTTTTTTTTTTTTTTTTTTACTGTAATTTTGTGTTTCAGCTCTAGGACTACCCAGCTTGTTTTGTTTTTACTATAGTTTCCATAGCTCCGCTGAGATTATCTCTCTATTTATTCATTCATACTATATTTTCCTTTAATTCTCTGAACGTACTTTCCTTTAATTCTTTGAACATATTTAAAATAGTTGCTTTGAAGTTTGCTAAATTCAAATCTGGCCTAATAGTTTCTGTGACTGCTTTTCTCTTCGGTATGGATCACATTTTACGGCCTAATTGCATCTCCAATAATTTTGTAGAAAAACAGACACTGCAGATATAGAAACTGAATTCTGTCACATTTTTCTGAGGACTACTGGATTTGTATTCTATTAGGCAGTTCTCTTGCTTGGATTCAAACCACAAACTCTATCATGGTGCTCAGGTGCTTATAGCTCTGTTTTGTCCCTGTGGCTTCCAAATGCTGCTTTTTTAGCCTGGCTTCCTACAGGTCTCCCCTGAGCCTATAACATGTGACACTCAGCCAAGGATTTAAGCAGAATTGAGTTCACCTTCTCTATAGTTTTCTTGCTTGTGGGAATTGCTCTAATTTCCACCTGCTATATTGGCTTTGAGATCTATGCTCTGACACTTCAAGCAGAATATTTCATTTAACTGCATTTTAACACCTAATACCATTTAATATGCTCCTTTTGCATTTATCATAAAGCAAGTGGCCTTCAAAAAAGTCCTACAATAGGAGAAATAAATTAGATAGTGAGACTTAGTATAAATATCTCATTCAATATTCCAGTGCACATATTTGACTATTTGAAGGAAAATACTAATTCAGACTGATGAAAATTTAAATGGATAACATATTATTTGGATTTCTGTTACTCTCTCTTCCAATTAACAACATTCAGGTTTTGTTATTTCCTAACTTAGAAGATGATCACCATATTGTTTGTACTGCATTACATACCTTAATGCATGACAATGACAAATGAATTTAAGTTGGCAATCACTCCTTTCAGAAACAATTTCAACCTACTAGAAGTGTAGGAATTACAAAAAAAGTCATTTTTATATTGATCTTTCTTGTCCTTTGGTTCATTCTTCATATGGTCAGAAATAAAACTATAAAATATAAACATACTGTGGCTCTTTGATAGCTTTAATTTATTAAAACAAAAACACTATCTTTACAATAAACACAAAGCATAAATAAAAGTCATGAGGACTATTGCCATAATGAAAACATTCTAGAGAAAAGTACTGTTTGTCTTTATCATAAGGTCTAGTTTAGAAGTATGTTCCTTCTAGCTATTTAAGGTAGCAAAAAAAAAAAAAAAAAAGACGTTCTAGCTGCTCATCTCTACTAACTGCTCGTCTCTATCCTTGTGATTTCATAAATCATTCAAAAGAATATTTATAAAAAAGGCACCATACTCATTTTTATCTCCTTTGGGATTATCTTCATGAGAACATAATTACTCTGATATACCTACCACTTCCCAACTCTGACACCTCAGTGCATTAGGACACCATGGCTAGAAGCTCATGGCAAAAGGGAACTATTTAATATTTAAGCATTAAATGCAGGAAAGTAATTAAATTTCTACCTTAGAGATGCCGCACCTGACAGCAGTGGGAAGGGTGGTTGAAGGGTTTAAGGTCTGAAGGTAGGATATCAGTTTAAAAACTACAATAATCCAGGTGGAAAGAGGGATTCAGTGAAGAAAGTGGCCATGGAAATGGAGGTGGGGACAGGTTTGAAAGATGTCAAGGAGGGAGAACCAACCAGATTCTGTGGACTACATGGGTACATAATATATTGCAGAGAATCAATATGCACAGAACCATAACTGCACATGTCAAATATGGTCCAAGAAAGCTGCTTGGTAAATACTGCAAAGATGCCTTACAAAAACGCCTTTCTTCAACAAGTCTTTATTAAGAAGCTATTATTTGTGCCAGATATATAACTAGGTTCTGGGGATGCAGAGTAAATGAGACAAAGTCCCTACCCTAACAAGAAAATGAACTCTTCTAGGTTACTTACCCATGGAGAAGCATAGCATGAAAGCCA